GTTATCACTTGAAATTGCATTAGTCCCTATCCTGCTATTTCAGCACCTTGTGATCTTTGAGAAGAGCATTACGAGCCCTCTCCTAGAATGTTTTTGTAGATTCCATGGTGTATTAAGACGAGAATGAATTCGGGAATCCAGGACATACTCATTCTGGAGTTTCTTCGTTCGTACCGAATCACTTGCAGAATCAAATTTGTTCCACAAGATCCTATTTCAGCTATACATCTTCCTTGCATTTATTCCAGAGACGTCGCCAGTGCTATGGGCTTTGATATATGTAGATCAAAAATAATGAATGAGATTGTGATGCTCCACTTGCCGCCAATGCGGAAGGATGCTGTCGAAAAGAACGGAACGTTTGTTTCGCTCTGGTGGATGCGACAATTGGTGTATATTATGAGTTGAAAGTGAACAATTAGTTTCGGTTTAAATCGTACCACCAATAATAATCGGTCTCTTATTTTATCTTATTTAATCTATAAAATGTTTAGGTCAAAGTTTGAGATACAGTGTGAGTTAATTATCCTAAAACCGATTCCATATTTTCATTGGAGATTCCATATTTTATAAGACCAGACCCATCCAAACATGTTTATGTCCAACTCAGCAAAATTTCACATCATCAAAGGTGAGAAGTTATTTATTTCTTCAGATCAGGGCCGGCCCACCTATAGAAGTAAAACATTTTGGGCTTAGGCCCCATAATTTTAGAAGGCCAGAATTTTAAATAAATAATTAGCCCACTTCAAAATTTTAAGTCCACGAAAATTATAAACACAATAAAAAAGCCTGTCAAAATTTAAGATCAATCAAAAATTTTAATTTTAATAATTTTTTGGGCTCATAATTCAACCCATTACAATACAAATCTAAAAAACTAAAATTTTATTAAAACAAACTGATGGTATACTTAAAAGTCAAGTTATAATTCTCCCACCCATTTTCAACCGCATTCTCTCCCTCTCCCTCTACAACACTGGAATGCCCCTCCCCTCTCATTTTTATTATCACTCACTCACTCTCCATATCAATTTCAAATAAAGAATTATTTTTACTTTTTTATTTAACTTAAAAAAATCATTAAATATTGATAATTTAAAATTTTTTATCTTGATCTCGAAAGTTTCTTAAAAGATAACAAATTTTCAAACATTGATAGTTTAGATTTATTTTTAAAATAAAATATTTTAAAGAAGATTTTATAAATGAAAGAAAATACTCCAATTGCAGATACTAAATTATATAAAAAGACAAATTTTTTTTCTTCAAATGTATACATTGCTTATAGAATAATATTATTAATTTTTGTAACATTTATTTCTATAAAAATAAGCTTTTTAAAATTAAAATTGATAAAATTTTACATAGAATTGACCATGTCACAAGAAAAAATAATTGGATTAGCAATATTACCAATGAAAAAAAATGATAACAAAATTTAAATATAAAAACTCAATTGATACATTTACAACTCAAAAAATGAGAAGAATTAATTTTAATCAAAATTTATAATACTAAAAATAAAAAGGCGTCAAAGTAAATTACCACTTTAGCCCTTAAATTACTTTGAGCCGCCCATGCTTCATATGCCTATTGGCCAAACTCTGAGTATCAAAAAGACTTCTTTGACTTCTTTCAACCATTAAGGCTGTCCATTGTCAAGCCTACCCTTTTGCAAGAAAAACATCTTCGGTTCGATAACTTCCTACATCGCCTAAGGGCCCGCTATCCTTAGTCTTTAGAGGATATGTCCTTAAACTAGCTTGAATGACAGTGATGGGCTCAAAGATCGAATGATTAATCGACGCAAACTTAAATACTTTGTAGAAAAAAAAAAAAAACTTCTTTCAATTTTTTTTTTTATAGTTGATCATATTATTTTACTTTCCATTTGGATTTGGTAAAGGCAAAGGTTTGCTTGTCAGCAAAATTCGATAAGCTTACCAATGATCAATTTTACCTCAAGCCACAAGTGATTCTTTCTAATTTCTAGAGCCACATGGGATAGGATATATTTTTCGCTAAATCGCAAGGAATATCAATATAATTTACACAAAAAATAAATTTATCCAAGTTTTTAGACCAGCAATGCTTTTTGGAGTTAAAAATCTTTATCGAATAACCTATATCTTAAACAAAAGTTGTATAGGCTTAAGATGGTGGACGGTTCAGATCTGATTCAATACATAAATTTGTTCAATCAGATTATCAGCAATTTGTTAAGGATTGATATCAAATTTAAGAAGGAAGATCATGTTGGATACTCTATCAGATGAAACACGGATGCTTCTAACCTCTTTTTCTTCTTATTACAAGAATTTGGTTACAACTCTATTGTATGGGAAGAAGACGTTGACTATCGAGGAGATTACGAGGGCCTTGTTGGCGTATAATCAGTGGAAGGCAGAGTAACGCTGAAAGATCTCAAGGTGAAGGGCTCGTAACAAAGGGCAGTTAGGATCATGAGAGAAGTAAGGAGAGGAAAGTCCAACTCAAATTCTGCTTGGCGCCCTAATGAAGGAACAAAAGAGGCGGTAATCCATTAAGGGGGCAATAAGCAACACCCACGCTTGTTGCATTGAAAAGTGCCCCCAACAACAACAAGTGTAGTAACAAAAGACAGTCAATTAGAGGCAGAAAAATCTTTGATCTCTACAGGCTAGGAGAAGCTTAAGCGATCTTATTATAGTGGTATATGAAGGGATCGCCTTCAAAGAAGCTTATGATGGCCTATGACTCCTTGAGATGCTGGCTCCGATAGAATCAATCCAATCACAAGGAAAAAGGATGCGATAACAGAAAAGGAAGAAGAAAAGTTCAAGGGTCAGTTAATGGCAATGGGTTACTCGCAAAGGAAAGGGGTTGATTACGATGACGTCTTCTCCCTGGTTGTCAGGCACACGTTCATCAAGATTATGTTGGTGTTGATAGCCAATTATGATATGGAGTTAGAGTAACAAATTTAAACGTAGCTTTTCTTCATGGTGACTTGGATGTTTACATGGAGTAGCCCGAGGGATTCAAGCAACCAAAGTCTGAGCACATTGTCTGTAGATTGAAGAAGTCTTTTTATGAGTTTAAGTAATCTCCACAACAGTGGTACAAAAAGTTTGATTCCTATATACTTTAAATTGGTTACACTGGTTGTAAGTATAATTATTGTGTTTATGTTAAAATTCTTGGGGATGATTATCATATTTTTCTGTTATTGTACATTGATGATATGTTGATTGCTGCAAATAGTATGACTGAGATTAACAGGTTGAAATCCTTGTTAAGGATGGAGTTAAACATGAAAGATCTTGAGTGCTACTCGGAAGATACTTGGTATGGAGATTTGCACGAATTGGGTTGAAGGAAAGTTGTGGTTGTCTCAGAAACAGTTTGTCACAAAGGTGCTTGAAAGGTTTAATATGTCTCATGCTAAACCTGTAAGCACTCCATTAGTGAATCACTTCAGGTTACATGTGGGTCAATGCCCAAAAACACATGGAGAAATTCAAGACATGTCAAAGGTGCATTGTCACAAGGTGCTTAATTTTTAACGATGGTAAGTCTGAATCTGTTTTTAGATTTGTACTCCAAATTAATATTGTATAGTATAAAAGTTGATTTTGATAAATTTTATGCAACTAAAACTTTGATATTTACGATAATTTAACGAATGATCCTATTGAAAAAAATTTATGACCATGTCACTATTTCTGTTTGCTCCCTCATGATATAATCCTAACCGTGTCCCTGTTCTAGTACAAAAACAACATACCTATATGACTCAATGAAGAACAGCTGATGATAATTAATAGCAACATATATATAGTTTACCTACATTTTATCTTCATCTATCTATGGTTTAGTGTCAAACAAGCCACAGGCCAGAGTACTCGTTAATGAATGAACACATCGTAGTGTCTGCTCACTATCATTGTTCAGCTTTGTTTGGGAATAGGATTCCTTACCCTTTGACTTAGTTTGGCAACAGAATACAATTAAGCTTGAATATATTGACAAAAAGGAAGCAATAATTGGCTTGAACAATTAATTTGTTAATTTCCCAATTCCCAAACAATTAAGCTCGAGCCCGACCCAAAAAAAAACTGTTAATAGTATTTTTGATTTCTGAAGTATGCACATTTTGTCTATTCGATCCTTAAAGTACTAATTTTGTATTAATATGGTCTCTAACATATTTAATTTATATTTAAATGATCCCTACATTGACGAACCGTTAAATTTTTTTGATGGGCAAATGTGATACCGTCTAAAAGATTAGCACATAGTCACTTCTGTCAAAAAATTTAACGAATTATCTAATTAGAGATCAAAGTAACACGAATTAAAATTTTAGGAACTAAATTAATAAAATTAATACAATGAAGATTAAACTAACAAAACAGATATACTTTAAAAATTAAAAGTGCTATTAACTAANAAAAATTTAACGAATTATCTAATTAGAGATCAAAGTAACACGAATTAAAATTTTAGAAACTAAATTAATAAAATTAATACAATGAAGATTAAACTAACAAAACAGACATACTTTAAAAATTAAAAGTGCTATTAACTAAAAAAAAAATTAAATTCCAAAACTAAACACGGAAAAGAATACAATTAAGCCCGAAAATTAAGCACCACTCAATTTTGTTAGGTTTGGGGATAGGAGTCCTTAGCAGTATCAAACACAACTTCTACCATCTTATTAGTTTCTTTTCCCCATCAGCTTCTACTTAATAGAACTCACCATCACCAATATTCCAATTCCCCCACCACTATAGTCTGTGTTTGATTCTCTTACTTCTTTGTTTTAGTTTAACAGGTAACGTGTCCGAGTTAATTTGCAACTAATTCTCTCTCAGTCTGATCAAAGGTATGTTATTCACGCTGAGACTAGAATTACTTCTTTTAACCACTTGAAATTTGTTTTCCACTGTTTTGGATTTGTTTCACTGATCAATTCACATAAATATAGTAAATCCATGCACTATCAAGGCAACATGATATCCAAAAAATTGTTCGCCGGTGTCGATCCGCCGGAAGATGTAATCTTGGATATACTAATGAGACTTCCCATGAAATCGTTGATGCGACTCAGCTGTGTCTCAAAGTCTTGGAACGCTTTTCTCACAAACCCTAATTTCTTCTCAAAGCAGCTCCATCGTAGCAGTGCCACTGCCCATAAACTCCTTATTCTTACCCGTAGCGAATTGGGATTCGGATTCTATTTCCATAGCCCTCCTGATGATGGTGATGGTGATAATAATAATAACGTGCCTCTCAATATTCCCCAATTCTCATTGCCCGATTTCTCGATTTATTCTCTCTACATTCAAGGTTCTTGCAATGGATTGGCATGTCTAAGTGTCAATGACACATCAACCGTTGTGTTGTGGAATCCAGTAACCAGACAGTTTAGGCCTATTAGGGTACCTTTTCCTCGTGGTCGGCCTAATCACCCGTTTGAAGATCCTGGATGCAGCCTTTTTGGATTCGGCTTTATTCCCAGAAACAATGGCTACAAGGTTGTAAGAATCACACCCTTAGTATTCCCAACAGAAACCATCCGCACGTGGGTGTACACATTGAGTTTGGATTCTTGGAAAGAAAAAAAAGTTGCTGTCCCTGATGTGATCTTTAAAACTCAACTTGCAATTTGTGTGAATGGTTTTTTGCATTGGCTGGCATACAACAAATCTACCAAAGTGGAGGTTATTGTATTGTTCGACTTGGATAATGAAGTGTTTCGACAGATAGCCCTGCCGGACTCTTACACTTTTCAAAGCAAGATTGATAGGAAACTTGTGATTCTAAAGGGATCATTTTCTGTTATGATACATGATCCTTCCAGAAGGTTGGAGATATGGACGATGACAGAATACGGTGATGAGAAATCTTGGACTCTGCAATTGACTGTCGGAGCTTTTCCAGAAGGACTGGATTATCCATCGGGAGTTTCAAACAATGGCGAGATCANAGATATGGACGATGACAGAATACGGTGATGAGAAATCTTGGACTCTGCAATTGACTATCGGAGCTTTTCCAGAAGGACTGGATTATCCATCGGGAGTTTCAAACAATGGCGAGATAATTTTTCGATCCTCAGACTGTGATTCTAATTCCCTGTTCTTGTATGATCCTCGTAGCCGTACCATCAAACATATTCCGGGTCAGAGGAGGACCTGTCCGTTTGAAGCTGTTAATTATGTTATGAGCCTTGTTTCTGTCCAGGGAGGCAGAAAAAGGATTCCAGCAGAGTAAAGGTGTGTTAATCGAGTCATCGAATTGAATAATATTGAGTCGTGTCATATTATGGTTATATTGACTTTAAGTTTTATTATCATGTTGAGTCGTATTAATAGGTAGAATTAGCAANGCAGAAAAAGGATTCCAGCAGAGTAAAGGTGTGTTAATCGAGTCATCGAATTGAATAATATTGAGTCGTGTCATATTATGGTTATATTGACTTTAAGTTTTATTATCGTGTTGAGTCGTATTAATAGGTAGAATTAGCAAGTACTTTTGGGCAAGTGCAATCGTGCAATATTAGGGTCATGATGACTTTAGGTTTATTATTATGTCAAGTCGTATTAATAGGTAGAATTAGCGAGTATTCTGGACAAGTGCAACCTCTTTCACCATTGATACATGTTAGAAAGTTGGTTGTATTCATTTTTAATGATATATCTGTATGTATCATCTCAATGAATCACGTCCTTAAACTCTTATCGGGTCTTCTTTCATTGGGTAAAACTATGTGCACTAAAACTTACATATAATTTGGTGCAAGTTTTGGTGTGCATAACGTTAGTGTATTTCATTCCCTCTATTATTTAGTTTTCTACGGTTACTTGAATTACTTTTAGATAGCTCTAAATCCAGATGGCAGTTCTGTTTGATGAATTCACACAAATTTTCAATTAATTTCTAGTAGAAACCTAAGACTAAGACAATGTGAAATTAATAAGTATAGGTTGGGACTGGAATGTTAAAAATATTGTAGTTAAATGGGCAATATAAGATAAGAAGGGTAACAGTAGAGGTGGCAATCCTAACTCGCACCTATCCAATATGTTCGCAAATTAATGCGTTAGATACTGATTTATTATTTATGGATAGTAAATGGGATGAGTAATGAACAATACAAGGGTCTAACGGTTTGAATATATATGCCCTAACCTTAATGCGCACCGTTAACATCCCACCGCCATGGTTGTCACACAAACACCCCTAACGTCACACCACCATCACCGTCATCGCCATGGTCATCACACCAACGCGGTTATGCAGCCACCAACCTTCCTACCACCGTGGCCACACTTCTAAAATGTGTCTCAATGATTAGGAATTATAGTAGAGAATAAATTTTTTATAGGAAAGCTTGTAAATCAAATATTTACAGACATCCAATCAAAATTAGAGAACTATATTAACTTATTGGGAATTCTCAACATTAATTTGTGTATTTGTATAGTTCTCAAATTTTGATTGGTTGCATAAAGAATTCATTCTCATTCTAATATTGCTTGAGACTTTTTACAATCCAATGATTTTGATAACTTAGGTCCGTAAATTGAGAATGTAAAGTCCGTAAATTGAGAATAGATTCTTTACAGGTAGTCTGTAAATCAATTGTTTACAAGCAGCCAATCAAAATTTGACAATTACACAAACATACAAACCAATGATGAGAATTCCTAATAAGTTTGTATATTTATCAAATTTTGATTGACTGCCTGTAAAAAAAAAAATTTCCCGTAAATTATGTTAACAAATTACGTACAAAGATGGTTATTGAAAATTTTTATTGCAATTGCTTACTAACCAGATTTCATAACACTTCACCAGCCAAATTTTTTTTTTTTTTTAAAATGCAGACGTAATTATAGTTTGTTCTATCAAAGTATGAGATTTGTGTCACTTTTTTCCTGAATAATCAAGTTTTGTACATTGAACTTTCAAATACAATTATTAGTTTCACTCTTCTCCAATAATTAACAACCATTACAATTTCAACATAAAGTTATTTCACTTTGCAAAATAAACTATATTATTTTGTTTTAGTTTGCCCTGAAATCGATATTGTTTTTAAAAAAGAAAATGGACGTTTGTGTTTTGTGGGCAACGTGAAACTAACCATTTAGTTGAAGAGATAATGTGAAAATTTTAATAGTTCAAAGGACAAAGTGACACATAACTCATAGTTTAGTGAAGCAAAGTATAATTAACCTAAAATTAAAATTCACAATATTGACTCATCGCGGATAGTGCTAATAACCAAACCAAGCTTGTCAAACTTTTGTTTAAGTTTGGCTCATTAGAACCCGAGTAGAACTCAAATAGCCCGACTATTTTACATAGAAACGAACCGAAATTTGCAAGCGCGCTCGTTTCTCTAAATGACCAACAAAATCAAACCTGAATCGAATCCACAATAAACTGAACCCAATCCCATGAGAAATTAATCAATATTTATTGGTTGGTAGACCCTTGCCCCCGAGAAATTAATCAATATTNTAATATTGCTTGAGACTTTTTACAATCCAATGATTTTGATAACTTAGGTCCGTAAATTGAGAATGTAAAGTCCGTAAATTGAGAATAGATTCTTTACAGGTAGTCTGTAAATCAATTTTTTACAGACAGTCAATCAAAATTTGACAATTACACAAACATACAAACCAATGATGAGAATTCCTAATAAGTTTGTATATTTATCAAATTTTGATTGACTGCCTGTAAAAAAAAAAATTTCCCGTAAATTATGTTAACAAATTACGTACAAAGATGGTTATTGAAAATTTTTATTGCAATTGCTTACTAACCAGATTTCATAACACTTCACCAGCCAATTTTTTTTTTTTTTTTTTAAAATGCAGACGTAATTATAGTTTGTCCTATCAAAGTATGAGATTTGTGTCACTTTTTTCCTGAATAATCAAGTTTTGTACATTGAACTTTCAAATACAATTATTAGTTTCACTCTTCTCCAATAATTAACAACCATTACAATTTCAACATAAAGTTATTTCACTTTGCAAAATAAACTATATTATTTTGTTTTAGTTTGCCCTGAAATCGATATTGTTTTTAAAAAAGAAAATGGACGTTTGTGTTTTGTGGGCAACGTGAAACTAACCATTTAGTTGAAGAGATAATGTGAAAATTTTAATAGTTCAAAGGACAAAGTGACACATAACTCATAGTTTAGTGAAACAAAGTATAATTAACCTAAAATTAAAATTCACAATATTGACTCATCGCGGATAGTGCTAATAACCAAACCAAGCTTGTCAAACTTTTGTTTAAGTTTGGCTCATTAGAACCCGAGTAGAACTCAAATAGCCCGACTATTTTACATAGAAACGAACCGAAATTTGCAAGCACGCTCGTTTATCTAAATGACCAACAAAATCAAACCTGAATCGAATCCACAACAAACTAAACCCAATCCCATGAGAAATTAATCAATATTTATTGGTTGGTAGACCCTTGCCCCCGAGAAATTAATCAATATTTTCTATTCGGACTCCTTTTTTTTGATGGCTTGATCTATCTATAAATTTGTTTGACCCATATGTTTAATAAAAGTGTTCTTTTGTGTAGTCTTCTTAATATCTGACTTTGTAGATGGCTAGCAATGATGCATATGATGAAAAGCTGATCCTTATAGTTACACAGTTTGTTGGTGTCATGACGTATTTGTATGGTGCCCACTACTTGGCATGGTATGATGAGAGACGTAATGCAAAGAGGCCAAAAAATGCAGAAATTGTAGCTGAAACAATGGCCGTTGTTGCAAATAACTTAGCAAGGCTAGTTGATACATATGAGAAAAGTAAGCCTTGCATTAATTATTCACAACTTTACAAAGCTGCAATGGATGTTGAAGAGCTTGATCTTGTTAGTCGAATGACTGTTTTTGAGTACTTGAATGCAAATGCTGTGANTAGTCTTCTTAATATCTGACTTTGTAGATGGCTAGCAATGATGCATATGATGAAAAACTTATCCTTATAGTTACACAGTTTGTTGGTGTCATGACGTATTTGTATGGTGCCCACTACTTGGCACGGTATGATGAGAGACGTAATGCAAAGAGGCCAAAAAATGCAGAAATTGTAGCTGAAACAATGGCCGTTGGTGCAAATAACTTAGCAAGGCTAGTTGATGCATATGAGAAAAGTAAGCTTTGCATTAATTATTCACAACTTTACAAAGCTGCAATGGATGTTGAAGAGCTTGATCTTGCTAGTCGAATGATTGTTTTGAGAACTTGAATGCAGATGCTGTCAAAGTCAGAGTATTTTTAATCTATCCCCAAGAGATGCACTACTTATTTTTAAGACGACAGCTATCTCAATGTGGTCCCAGTGCTATTTTTAGAGGTTTATAGCTGATGATGAGGCAAGTAAATTTGGTTAGAGGCTTAAATATTCATCATGTAAACTTTTTAGGCGGGTTTTTGTGACTCGATTACTAGAATAATTTACGTTATCAAACCCTCTCTTCAATGAAAATCAACAAACCCACTTGAAGAAACTAATGTTTTTGAGCTGCCATGGTGGCGCATTGTGTAGCTCTATAGCCAGTGGGGGTGGTCATAGCAGTGACGGAGATGAAATTGAGTTTTCTTGGATTTTGGTGGTGTTTTCATGGTGGCTAATGTTTTGAGATACAATGTTGACTATGGCTAGAACACTGTGTCTCGGTCGGGGTCGGGGGTCAGACCTAAAGATTTTTTAAAATATTTATTTATCTAAATATTTGAGAAAATTTTCAATTTTATTCCGACACTTAATTCTAGTTGTTGCCAAACCCAAGAATAGTAATATACATTTCATTCTTATATTGATTTCATTCTCTTGTAAAAGTATTACTGCACACCAAATACAACCTAATTACCTTCGGANTGGTCATAGCAGTGACGGAGATGAAATTGAGTTTTCTTGGATTTTGGTGGTGTTTTTATGGTGGCTAATGTTTTGAGATACAATGTTGGCTATGGCTAGAACACTGTGTCTCGGTCGGGGTCGGGGGTCGGACCTAAGGATTTTTTAAAATATTTATTTATCTAAATATTTGAGAAAATTTTCAATTTTATTCCGACGCTTAATTCTAATTGTTGCCAAACACAAGAATAGTAATATACATTTCATTCTTATATTGATTTCATTGTCTTGTAAAAATATTACTGCACACCAAATACAACCTAATTACCTTCGGAAAAGAAAATAATACTCTAATTACTGTATATTTTTGTCTCATGGTTTTCAATTATGTGACAAAAAATAATTCTTAGATTAGTTATGACACTTTGCCTCACTATGATTCCGATGTCACTTTCCCCTCTCTAATATCAATTTGAACTCTTAACCCCCCCTTCATCTCCTTCGTATTGATTTCAATCCGACTCAAACCCAAACGTCTCTCTTAGAATTTTGATAACAAATTGGCTCCCAGTCAATTGACGCATAAGGCAAATGTTTAAATTGGTCATAAAATTACACAACCTCCTCAATCCTCTTGAGAAACAGCTAGGGTACCGCCGGTGGNTGTCACTTTCCCCTCTCTAATATCAATTTGAACTCTTAACCCCCCCTTCATCTCCTTCGTATTGATTTCAATCCGACTCAAACCCAAACGTCTCTCTTAGAATTTTGATAACAAATTGGCTCCCAGTCAATTGACGCATAAGGAAAATGTTTAAATTGGTCATAAAATTACACAACCTCCTCAATCCTCTTGAGAAACAGCTAGGGTACCGCCGGTAGCACCGTACCAGAACTTATAACTTTTTAAATTCAAATAAATTGAATTACAATTTTTATGAAGCATAAGCACGATCATAGAAGGTTAAAATCGATATCCAAATTACAACTTTCAAAAATTAAATTACAACAATTAAAGATCAACTTATAACTCATAAAAAAAAAGTTACAACATAATCAATATCTGTTATTAATCATAATCTTCTCTTAAGAAATTATAACTTCGCTTTTCAAACACACAACTTTATCGTAAAAAATTGTAATCAACGGTAAGATACCATTTTTTCTTTTTTAGTACGGTAGAGTTTCCCTTTAAAAACAGGGCTGGAATACCCGTTCTCTAGACCTGTAATATGGATTTGGCTTTCTGCTTACTCTAGTCTTTGATTGAGACGGGAATCCATCAAAATACCAAACCCTTTTTTTCAATCATTTCAACCACGTGTTTGTTGAACTCATGAATGCAATGCAGATATTGAATGCAAACAATTAAACAGAAATTTTACGTGGCTAAAAAAACTCAAACTCAAAACATGTGAATTTTACACATCGCACCTCGCCTAATGAATGAACCGACCCGTACAGGTTAACACAAACTCTTATGCGACATTGTAACTTTCATATGTTTTTGTTACAACCTGCTGGTAATGGAACAGCGTAAATCGTCATCACAAAATGGCTAAAGAGTCACATGCAGAACAACAGGCTGAATGGTGTAGCAAGTTTTCATCAGGCAGTGAAAACTTCACAAGGGCAGATGAAATCATGTTGTAAATTAGTTCAATTCGACCTGCAGACAGACCTTCAGTATCTACTGCAAGGCTCCGTGATTTGGGTTTTGGGCGTTTTTCATCGCAATCCAAGACAGATTTCTTCTTTTCTTTCTGTTCCGATTGGAATCCCTACTTCACTCCTTGAGAAGAAAGAAGGGGAGAAATCATACTCCAATCCAAATGCAAAAGGTCTTCCGGGAATGGCAATGTTTGATTGACATATAATGCTACAAAAAAATTTAATATGAACTCTATTTTCTAATATGTCACCTTAATTAAGAGCAGGAAATTGGATTAAGTTTACAAAATCTTCCACTTCTGCTCCACAGCATTGCAGATCCTCGAAATACAGAAGGCCGCACTCAAAGGATAATCAGAAACTGCAGATTTTTAGTTGGAATTAAAAGACTAGATAAATAGGATGACAAAGTAATATAAAGTGTCATGAGTCCACCCCATCTGGAAAGTGACATCAACATCAATCAAAAATGTACTCAGCAATGTTAAAGAGTATCACCTCTACAAGTAATCAGTTTTGATTTACTATGCATTATCCAGGAAGCAATGTTGGTGTCCAGATGTTGGATCAATTGACATTATTGTGAAGCTTCAGGTTATGCTGAAAAGCAACTAAGGCTAAAGCGGGGCATCAAAGTTAAACAAGTAAAGACCAGAATAAATTACTACACGTTTGGTTTGTTTCCTTCTTTTTTTTGTGGGGGGGTGGGGTTTTGCGGGACATCGTTTTCAGTGTCAATTTAGTTCTCTTATGGTGAAGGTTATTACATTTGGGTCTGGGTTCCCGTTATGTGAGTTGGCAGTGTATTCGTCTAATACTAATTTGCCCTACCATTTAACTACTTGGTGTGTGACCAAAATTGAGAAGTTGGTCCTACTTGTTTGACATCTAATCTCGTGTCGATGTATTTTGGAATTAAGAATTCAATAATGGGACATTACCTTTATTTAACACGTGCCTAAGACCATGTGACATATGGCACTTTTATGTGCTTTTTAGTGAAATTGATCACCAGAGTTATTGCACAGACAAATGGTATCTANTACTTGGTGTGTGACCAAAATTGAGAAGTTGGTCCTACTTGTTTGACATCTAATCTCGTGTCGATGTATTTTGGAATTAAGAATTCAATAATGGGACATTACCTTTATTTAACACGTGCCTAAGACCATGTGACATATGGCAATTTTATGTGCTTTTTAGTGAAATTGATCACCAGAGTTATTGCACAGACAAATGGTATCCAAGGCTACTTGATCAAAAATGCACGAGTTCCAACAAAAAGCATATGCTCACAATCTGTTTAATTTTACAGGTACTAATTAATGACAATCCTTCAATCTTCGATAGACAGCAGACTCAGAACAAAAGCACGAATTCCTTNATGCTCACAATCTGTTTAATTTTACAGGTACTAATTAATGACAATCCTTCAATCTTTGATAGACAACAGACTCAGAACAAAAGCACGAATTCCTTGACATCTAAGCATTTATAATGTCAAACAATAAAAAACGTTAGCATCTTATCACCATTATAAAAACTGCTCATGAACAATTATGAAAGTTGATCAATATATTCATATATTTGTGTAGGTGTTCTAATTTATCCAAGCTTATATAATAAATCAAAAAAAATCAAAATTAGCTTACTTGATATGAAATCATCCACATATTCCTTCTCAATTTTCCCATGAGCCATTGCACCAACCTGTGCATGGATAGAATCAAGTGACATAGAAAGTCTAAATCAAATGAGTCACACAAACAAGAGCACATATTACTTGGGCATACCACAAACACGAGGTTCACATCATTGCTAACAGCAGCAACATAGTCCCGCATATCAACCAACTTTTCTGAACTATGTGAGAAACCTGATGAGCCAGAAAACTATTGATCACTGTCAATAATAAGTAATTTGATGGAGAAATGCAAGAAAGAATTGCTCACCTATTTTACGGGAGTTGATGGGTAGATACTGGGTCACAGGGTTCTTGACAACACGCAAAAGTTTTTCACGCTTTCCTACTGCAGTTATGTTCAGTTTCTGTAGCAGTTGCACTGCAACGATAATAAAAAGAGTCAAAAAACAAGAGAAAAGCAGCAAAGGCACTTGAAAACCACAGCAATGGAACAGGCATGATACCCAGTGTAACAAAAAATTCCTTGGGACAAAATCAGTTGAACTTACACATTATACCAGAAAACCGCTTATACGTCCTCGGAATCCGAACATGTGGTTTGACCTCAAAAAGTACACCTTTCTCAGTTCTCACATACAAAGCTCGCAGCTTGCCAGCTTTATTGAGTGGGCTATCTAATATTGTGAGGATAGCCTGAACAATGCAACTTAACTCATATAACATATTCCAACATCAAACAAGCACTCTCCAAAGTGGCTAACCAGCTACAGCTAATTTTGTAATCAGTACCATATAGTTGCTAGGAACTGAATTTCACAGAACCCTAATCCCAATCTACAATCAAAACTATATATAACAGTACCAGCTAAATCAATTTACTGGGGACACCATAAAATTTCAAACGGCTAAACACCAGAGAGATAAATATAATTCTGAAAGGANCAGAAAACCGCTTATACGTCCTCGGAATCCGAACATGTGGTTTGACCTCAAAAAGTACACCTTTCTCAGTTCTCACATACAAAGCTCGCAGCTTGCCAGCTTTATTGAGTGGGCTATCTAATATTGTGAGGATAGCCTGAACAATGTAACTTAACTCATATAACATATTCCAACATCAAACAAGCACTCTCCAAAGTGGCTAACCAGCTACAGCTAATTNGAAGGGGAGGCATAAGGTATCCAAAAATATGACAAGCAGGAATCTGGAGCCAAGCAAAAGAAAGGCCCCTCAAAAGACATATTATGACAGAAGATATCTCAAAGCCATATGATNTTGACCTCAAAAAGTACACCTTTCTCAGTTCTCACATACAAAGCTCGCAGCTTGCCAGCTTTATTGAGTGGGCTATCTAATATTGTGAGGATAGCCTGAACAATGCAACTTAACTCATATAACATATTCCAACATCAAACAAGCACTCTCCAAAGTGGCTAACCAGCTACAGCTAACTTTGTAATCAGTACCATATAGTTGCTAGGAACTGAATTTCACAGAACCCTAATCCCAATCTACAATCAAAACTATATATAACAGTACCAGCTAAATCAATTTACTGGGGACACCATAAAATTTCAAACGGCTAAACACCAGAGAGATAAATATAATTCTGAAAGGAAAAAATGAGTACTATAAATTCTGTAATAACATTTACCATAATTATGCACCTCCAAAAATTAGATACTAAAGCCATCCCTACATTTTCTTTGTTTGGACTGTAGCTTTTTCTTTCTTTGTTTCTTGCTTTCTTTTTTTTTTTTTTTTG